CCCATTTGAAAGACAATGTGCTTCTTCCATAGCTTCAATTTACCTAACGAGGAAAGTCAAAAGCACTTCATAAAACCTACTTCCCGGTTTATATGTACCTACTTCGATGCATTCTTTGTTTAATGATGATACCTTTGGTAAGCAAAAATCAGAATTTGCGAAATTGCATATATCACAAATGACATAATGAAAAAAAATACTCCAGCTTTTTTAAGAGGCAAATCTTTACTTACAAACAAGCCAAAAAAAACTTTTCCAAATTAAAATAATATCTGATAATTTTATCAAAGAATAACGGGAAAATCATTATTATTTATTTATTAATGATTAAGATTCAAGTTCTATATTACTCCTGTCTATTTATCGTTAGAAATAATTTATGCTAGTTTTAAAATGTTAGCAAAAGTAATCAAAGTTACAAAATTTGTCAATAAATATTTTAATTCAATTTATTTATAATCAAATGATTAAACTAAACTTAAATTAAGATTACGGTAATAATTCTTAAAAGGAAAAATGGGTTATGAATTAAATTACTAAAAGAATGACATTTCTTTTTACATTATCATGTTTAAAATATTCGAAATCGCAGAATCATACTTCATGTATAATTTCTAAAATTTTTAATGGCTTACCCGGGACTTGGACAACGCTAGGTATATTTTCTATAATAGATTTCTCACATACTGTACCTCTGCACTTTAATATTTGATACATTCGTTATCAAATCCAGAAAATTTACGCTTATCAAGCGCTTTTTAGATAGGAGGTTAACCTAACTCGTCATCGTCCATCATCAGCGATGAGCGTCACCTGAAATTCATGGTCATGCGAGCTATAAATAAATTACATCATGGCGCTTGCTACATGCACTGCCATTATGCTATAAAATTAAGAAAATTAACTATTAACAAAAACCTTGACGCTTTTGCTCATGCATGAAATTATCGTTCCTAAAAATGATTTTTTTCATTATTTTATTAGAATAAAAAATATAATCATTTCTAATGAATTCTTTATCATTCTTTTAGAATGATGTATTAAAAAATGATACATTTTATCATTCTTTTGAAACAATATATAATTATTCTGCAAGAATGATTTCTTTTATTATTCTATTAGAATGATACATCATCATCCTTTTAGAATAATTTTTGTTATTGTTTAAAATGATCAAATTATAATTTCTTTAGAATGATTTTTTTATTATTTTTAAGAAATAATTTAACTATCATGTCTTTTGAATAATTTTTAAATCATTCTTAGGAATGATCAAATATATCATTTTTTGTTATTAAAATCAAGTTACAAGCATAGTAAATTATATGATCTGTAATATAATTTTAATAACAAACCACCTAAACTATCATTCTTTTTGAATGATTTTATAATTATTTTTAAGAAATTATCAATTATTAGTCCTTTATAATGATTTTATAATTGCTTTTTAAAAGGATTTTGTTATCTTCCAATCAAATAATATAAAATAATCTGTTTGAAATATTTATGATTAATAAACAATAGTTAAATTTTGAATTCATCAAAATTTAGTTCAATTTATAATACAAAACTAATAAACTTTCAGATTATTCTAAAAAATAATTTTTTTTTCTTATAAAAAGTCTTTATTTAGCATTTTAAAATAAGGTAAATAAATCAGAAGTGGTTTTTTACATGAAAATTTTATTTTATTTTTTTTATTTTTTATTAAAATAAATAAATCAGAAATGATTTTTTGGTGAAAAATTTATTAATTTTCTTTCTTTTTTCTTTTTTTTAGGAAAGTTTTTATTTTGAAATTAAGATAAATAAATAGTTAGTGACTTTTAGATGTTAAATTGCAATTATCCTAAAATTGACTTATTTAAAGTCAATAAATTATAACTTATTGGATCTATCTAGTCAAATGAAATTGAATGATAGTTACTACATAAAAATCTGAGCAATATTTAATGATATTATATATTTTAATTATTTTGACTTTTAGACCTACTAAAATCAAAATGGTTCTATAATTTTAACCATTTTGAAAAAATAGGTTCATTTCAACTTAATGTATAATCCTATAACTTAACATTTAAATACAATTTGTAATATGATATAAATGTTTTTTAAAAACTTTCAATCTAGTTATAATTTTTTTTTTTTATAAGTTAAAATGTAATTGCAAAAAAAATCAGTTATAAAAGCTAATAATTTGCTGAAAATTTATACAATATATTTATTTTTATCAAAATCATATTATAATTAAAGATAGTGTAGCAATTAATTTCAAATTTATCAAATTATTGCAATACAAACTAAAATTAGTTACATTACAACTAATAATATCTCACGAAATTACCTTTCTTAATATGACGAAATTGACGAAACCAAAATGACGAAACTAGTTTTTTATGAATGATGAAATTATTTTACTTAATTGCCGAAATTATATTTAACTTGATCTAAATTTCTTGAATTAAAATACATTAAAAAATATAATAATTTTATATTTATTCATATAAAAATATTAAAGAAATGAAACTTTTGACAAAATTACAATTTTTCAAAAAAGAATTTAGTCAGATATCACTAATTACAACATTAAAAGTTATAACATATTAATTATGATTCTCATTTTTAATCATAATATATAAATGTAATTTATATATTAAAAGTAGAAAAATTTACAGAATTTCAAAAATATTATAACCAAACTATTTTTTTTACTAATTCAAAATTTTTTATAATATTTGAAATTTTTTTTTTTAAATTATATTTTGACAATTATATACGTAACTATATAGTAACCTTCTTATATAATAATATATTATAATATAAAATTACTTTTGATATTATTGAATATTTCAAAAGTACTGATAAATATTAAAAAATCATCTTTCAGTTAATGTATAGTACTTTAATATATGAGAGCTTATCAATAGAAAAGGAGGAAATCTAAAAAAAATTAAAATTTTACTTCATATGCTAAATATGATTTTTTTAGTAAAATAAGTTCAGATTTAACTTTAACTCATAAAAACATTTTTTTTAGATTTTCCCTCTTTCTATTGATAAGCTCCCATATATTCAGATCATTCTAAAAAAAAATGGGTAGATTTTGAATACTATTTAAGTTGAAATTCAATTTAAATTTTTATACTCTAAGATATTAAACGAATTTCTAAAATATATAATTATTATAACTTACCTTTTGAAGTCAAAATATAAAAGAAGTATAATCATAATAAATGTTTAAGTTTTTAATATAATTATTTTGTAAATTTATAAATATATTATACAAAGTATTATAATAAGAATAATCTGCAAGGTTAAACATAATATTCAAATAGTAAACTATTCTTGAACCCATTTGTAATGATATGAGACATTTGCAATAGAAAGAGAAAAATCAGCCGGGATAAATAAAAATGAATTAATGCAAATTCTGAATATATTTCGGTCTGAAAATCATATTTGGCATGAAAATGTAAGATTGATTTTTCACAGTTTCCCCCTTTCTATTGCAAAGATCTCATTATATTATAAAAATAACTACATATTATTGAGAACACAGATTTCTATTCATATTTTTTAAAATGCTATATTTCAATATTTCAAGGAATATTATTTACTAATAATTCAACGTGATATTTCCCTTTTCAATCTATTTCAAAATAAGTAAATAATAACCTAAAATGAAAAAAAAAGAAAAGATATATCGTGAGTTTGATTTTACAGTATCGGGTATAATTAATACTTTTTTTAATATTAAAACCCGGTATAAAAAAAGACCGCCGAAAAATTGAACCGGTGAACGCATGAAAATTTTCATATGAGAATCAGGTTTTATAGATAATCGAAAATGTAAGTATGCAATTTTTAGGGAAATTATAACATCATAACATCATAACTTAGTTTCATTATTTATATTATTATTTATTTATTTATATTAAAGATCAGATCAAGTTTTGAAGATCATGATTAAAACAAAGCCCATTGGAAAATCTAATATTCTACCATCTATCGGAATAAAGTATTTCAAATCTGTGAAATCTGTGGATATAATTTAAAGTATGATGAAACCAAAGTAGATCAAATAAAAGGAGTAAGAAACTTAAATGGAGAAGTATTAAAAAAGAAAATGATTATCATTAGAGGCGTTGTTTGTGTCGTATTAAATGTCAAATTTAGTATTATTGAAATTCATTGATTAGGTAATTCATTGATTCATATTAGATTAAAAAAAAAAAACTTAAAATCTTATCTATACTATTATCTGTAATTAAAAATATGATTTTATTATTTTATATTCCTTTAATTCAATTCACTAAAAAAAAAAAGTTCGGTAATAAAATACAAATGTTAAATAATAATAACATTTGATTACATGGTTTGTAAAGAATGAAATATTACAACTAAATACATTATACATATAGTAGTAAGTAAAAAAGGATATGAACTAGATAGATAAAATAAATGAAAGAATGGTTTTAGCGATATATGAATATTGGAATATAAAACCATAAAGTTCGTGAAATGCTTAAAATATTTTTGTCCCTATTTTTTGACGCGTAAAGTTAATGTTTAAAAGTATACTGCAATAAAAAATACGTCTATTAATGTTAGACAATGAATTATAATTTACCCAATTTGCCCTCAACCACAAAAAAAAAAAAAAAATAAAAAAATATATATATCGAGAAAGCAGGTAAAATATACAATCAAAAAGAATGTGAAAAAAAAAATTATTCTACAAGAAAAATATATATACACGTCATAATATATATGTGAAGAGAGGAGAATTTTTTATCCCCATATAATTGTTTTTAAAAATATTAAAAATATTAACAGAATAAAAAATAAAAAAACCCCATAAATGTCCAAAAATCTAAAAAAAATCAATTTTTTTATTTTTCCCTTTTTTTTTTTTGTTGTTGTTGTTTTTTAATGTTGTGCCAAAGTTCTTAGTTCCATTACATGAAGAGTTAATTTGCATTGTAATTTCTTCAATCGATCTACCAAACTCGGCATAACTTCCACAGACATTCTAAAATTCTCTCTTCTTTTTTCACTATTAGAAATTTTATTATTGTTTGTTCGAAATGACATCAATTTTTGTTTTTTAGCAAGATTTTTACTAGGAATGTTGTAATCATATTGATTTTCTTTGTCATCATCAAAGGATATAAGATCTTTCGCGTCTTCGCCTAAACTTTCAATAATGATTCTCTTAAATATTTTCATATGACGTATTGAAGGAATTTGCTCGATATCGACTTCAACACGTTCGTCAATGGTCGTTTTGTTATCCGCAACATCTGCAATATCAATAATTACGGCTGCTTCTTCCCAATCCCGTTTATATTGATTCTCAAGGTCCTTGACTTTCTTGGATGATGTACGTAAGAATCCATTTGACCATCGTCTGGTCATTTTTGATAGAATATCAGTAGAAAGACTCTCCTTCCAAACCCGAAGATCTTTCAATTCCTTTATATGTGTTGCGAAATCCTTGATATTGGAAATATCCATTCTCAATGAGATTTGATTTTCCTCAACTATTGATGGAACGTTCAATTCGTTCACATCTAAATCAAAATCATCATCCCAACTTTCACTCGGTGTCGCTATTTGGGGGGAAAAAGGATTTTTTAAAAAAAATGAGACAAAAAAAAAAATAAAAATAAAAAGACTTTCTAGAATACACTTACGTCGTCGATGATATAGACTCGGCGAATAATCATGTATACTGGTCGGAGGTAATGAATTACATCGATTATGTCGTCTTCGTGTTGGTGACGTTGGTGTATTAGGAATGGGCAAAAATGATGATAAAGTTTGCGTGGATTTATTGACAGGTTCATTGGAACCGGAATCACTTTGTGAATCCCAGTCTTCATCCTCCTCATCCTCTTCGAGCAGTGTTTCTGATACCCCCCGGGAAATGTACACACCACTTAAAGATGGAGAATTATCCCAACTTTGTGATTGAAGCGTAGCAGGCAAATTGGGCACAGATAAAGTCCTTCGATCGCGATCTTTCATTGTAAATACATCCGAACATATGGATGAAACATCATCATCTGCTAAATCAGATAATTGATCTGGACGTACTGCTTGAAGATGTATCGTTTTAGGAGGGAAAATGAACGTTGATGATGATGTTGTTGATGTTGATGATGATGAACCTTCTTGTGAACGTTTATTCTTTGAACGGAATAACTTGAATCGTTTCAAAGGACTCTTTGGTGATGAATTAATTTCCGTATATGGAGTTGTTGGCAAAGACGATAAATTATTACTAGAGCAATTACTTATTGACGTATAAATCGAATTTCTGCGTTTTTTAAAGATCGTTTGACGGCCGAATACGTATCCCATACTTGCAGCTGTACCAACTGCTCCAGAAGCGTATACAAGCTTTAAAAAGAAAAAAAATAGTTTATAAAATAAAAATATTAGAGGGAAAGTCGGGTATGGGTATGAATGAAATGGGGTTTTTCATGTCTAGTCTCCTTATTTATTTATTTTTTTTTTTGAAATAACTTACCGAGCTTATGGCTCCTCCTTGTGACATGAAGAAAGCTTATTTTTAGCTCTTACAATAATAGTTGCAGGGTATGGGAAAAAAATTTTTTTTTTTCCTCCTGTAAAAATATTCTCGAGATGTTATTATTACAGGTGAGAGTTGGAGAAGAAAAAAGGATAATTTCTTCGAAGTTTTCGCAAGAGAACTGGTTTAAAAAAAAAAACCTGTCAAAGGAAGAAAAATAAATATATATATACAATAATTAATTAATAAATGAATAATTTCTCGTTATTTAATAAAAAAAAAAATAAAATTATGGAGAAAATCAAATCCAAAGTAAGAATGATTTTATATATATATATATATATATATATATCTGCATGCATGCTTGCCATTTCCGCAACATGCTCTTTGGTGGTTCAGATGCTTACCGTGATAAGTTAACATAAATATATTTTTTTATATGTATGAACTTGATAATGAATGAAAACCCAGTTAATTTGCGGAACGAATTTAAAAAAAAAAGTCTTTAAAAAAAAAAAAATATATATTTTTTTAAAAAAAAAAAAAATCTCAAAAAAAAATCTAAAAAAAAATTAGAAAAGAGGAAAAAGGATAAAACAGCTTGATATAAATAGATTTCATAAAACGATTACGATGAGACGTATTTTTTTTTTCCATTGCCGAGACATTTTTTTTGTTGTTAAAGTCAGTTATTTACCCCCCTTAATGTTCTCCTTGACTTCTTTGTATTATTATAATTTATGTTAATTGGAATTAATGTATGTGATCGTCATCATAAATTATAAGTAGTGTATATATTTGTGATGATGATTGGAAAATGTGATATGACTTTAAAAATTTTTATTTCCTAATAAATAAACTTCCATTCTTGGATGGAATGCCCTTTGCTAATTTATTTAGGTAAATATTCCTTTCATGTTCTGCGGGGGTCTTGTATTCATGTGACTTTATAGTAAGTATTAATTTGGAGAAAGGATTCCATAAAAAAACAAATGATATGGTAAAGCAAGTTAGTGGGATAAAAAAAAACCTTGTGGAGTATTCAAAAAGGCAACGAATTCTCTATATTGCACAAGTGTAACTAAAAAAGAAAAGAAAAGTCGGAAGAAATTGATACAACAAAAATTGAATTGGACCTTTTTTTTAAAAAAAAAAATAAAAGAAAAAGAAAAAAGTGCGAGCGAGAGAATTTCTGTCAATTATCTTGTGACAAAAATATATATATTTTATATATTTTTTCTTTTTTTACTTTCTTATTATCAACACGCGCGTGTGTATTAAATTATATTATTAAATGAAAGTATAGGTAATGTTGAATGAATTTTTATAAGGGGTAAAAAATTTTTTTTTTTTATTCTCAATATGATATATAAAAGGTTAGAATAACTTTTAAATATTAATCATCGCGTGGAATGAAAATTTATTAAAGTTTATGCTGAAAATCAGTGATGAGATTTTCCCGGCATTTAAACTCGATGCCTTATTATTGTATTGATGCAAATTACGACATTATTACATAGAGAAAAATTAAATGTATTAGTAATAAGTATTAAGGAATAATTTTTTACCATATGGGGGGAGGAAGGTTTTTTTATTTGCGGAGGAAAAAAAAACTAATACATTTTCAACAAATAACGCAAATCTTTTTATACACAAAAAAAGGAAAAATCGAACTTATTATTGCTTATTATTGAATAATAAATACTTGTTTATGAATTGTCTGTCCTACTTGCCAAAAAAAATTTCCGCAACCCTTTCCTCCTTTTTATGGTACGTCTTTTTTTTCCTTCGTTCGGCAATGGCAAAAAAACTATGATGATGTAAAAATTGGAATAATCGGTAACATCGGAATGTCCCTGTGTAGCAAAACCAAGGAAAACCTAAGAGAAAAGAAGCTAGGGGGATGAACGACGCTAGGTAATTTTGTGTCAAGTATAAGAGCGTGTATTAATCTTATTAAGGAGTGTTTTAGAATAAACAATGTTATCATAGCGAAAATTATGTGCATTATTACTTTAATGTTTTTTTTTTTTTTTTTTTTTTTGAGAATCTTAGTTCTAATATTAGAATATTTAAAAAAATTTAAATAGCATCACCATTTTTTATTGCATATATATATATATATATAATTTTAATTTTTGATATTTATTTATATATATGAATATAAATTTTAATTTATACTTACATCAATTTGTTCCTTATAAAAGATTCTCGAAACGTTTTAAATCTTAAAATAACTTAAAATTTCAACAAATTCTTAGAAGGTTGGAATTTTAATTGAAACAAATATTCACGACATAATCATTTTATTATAATTGGTAAAATTACGACCAAATGCGTGATTGTTTACATTTTGTGTGATCAATAAAGAATTTATCAACTAGTCAACCCCAACTAGGTATGGTAATTTAACACATTCATCCGATTTTATATCCAGTAAAGGGAAATGTACTAAATTTTATTTGTTTTAATTGTAAAAAGCAAATAATAATCTTTATGTTTGTTAATAATTATAAAAATAAGTACTTTATAATACAATACATTACATAGTTTGTGTATTTACCACTTTAAAAAAAAGAAGGAATTTCATGTATTGTATGACCTTTTTCAATGTTTTGTACAATCGTGTCACACAATCAATAAAGTATTGAACTATGAACTTTTTCTTTAAATATTTGTAAAAATTATTTGTTTTGTGGAGCACGGTCCTTTTAGATTCCACTTTCCTATGTTTTAATTATGTGGGAATTTCACGATTCATACAATCAAAGTTTACTAATCAAAAAAACTTGTTTGCTTTCTTGATATCTTATTTTTATTCTTAAACGATTTTACCGATTTATTATCACATCTCAAAAAATCAAAAAAATAAACGGCTTATTTTCATGCCCCCCTTTTAACAGAGCCATTTAGGACGTATTTGAACACAAAGGTATATCACTTACTTAATTATACCTCACAAAGAAGATAATCCATTCACACAATAATTTCAAATTTGATCATTTTTACATTTTTTAATTAAGAGCGATTAAAAAAAAAAAAGCATTACGATGGAACAATAAAGATTTTATCGAGTAAATTTCGAATAAATGTCACCTAATCTGACATTTCATTTTACTATTCCAATCATTTGTGTGTTTAACATTTTATAAGAAAAGTGAGAATGTTCAATAAATAAAATCGGGAAAGCACAGATCTTTTGAAAGGTTCACATGTAGAAACGCGTATAATCGGAAAGCACGTGATTTTACAACAATCCTCTGTTCACGTACTTTTAGAAGATAGAATCAAAGAAACTTCGTTAGATTCGTAGAATTCTTTGAATCTTTCGATAATTGCTTATTAAGGGTGATATTTTTTATATGACCATTTATGGATGGAGAAGTGAGCTGTTTAAAACATTAGTAATTCACATATTTTTAGATTCCATTACGTTTAACCTTTGGGTATTACCCCTATAAAAATTACTTTGATGTGACACGTTGTGGCCGATCGCTTCTTTTAAATTACAGTAAATAATCTTTAGCACAAATACCAGTTACGGCCATACACAGTGAAATGCACCGGAACCCGTCCGATCTCCGAAGTTAAGCCACTGATGGCCCAGTCAGTACTACGGTTGGGGACAACGTGGGAATACTGGGTGCTGTAACTTTTGCTTTTTCGAGGCTTTTTTTTTTTTTTTATAATGGAGGAAAGCGAACTTTATCATATCATCCAATTACATTAATTCATCATATATAATCGTCATCATTGAGTCCCATAATAATTATAATTACATAAATTTGATAATTTGAAGGGAAATAAAGTTCTTTAATCATTCGAAATTTACTACTAGAATTCTGCCTGAATGCTCTTTTAAATTTACCAAGCATTTGGTCCTGGTGATCTAGTTAAATTGAAATGACGCTTATTTGAGAATTACTCTAATTAATTTATTATGAAAATTGTACCATGAGTGGTTAAATCGTCATACATTTTAAAATAAATTTTATTCATTTCTTTCTTTAAATATTTATTCATGATTTTTTATTATTGAAAAGTTACATCCCCCAATTCAAATTGCATCTTGCAAAAGTTCCTTTATAACGTAACACTGTAACTTTTTACCTATAAACAAAATAAATATAATATGTATGTAATTTTTTTTTTTAAAAAAAAGAATGTAAGAAATAAATGTCATTTACCTTACTGAAATAATAATGGCTTTCATTATTTAATAATAATTCGGATTTTTCGTCCGTTAATTTATTGATGCTATGATATTCTTAACAATGTGTATATATATATATATATATTTTAATCGAATTTTTTCTTCTTTTACACAAAAAAAATATGATAAAGAGATTACATACCAATCCAACAAAACTTATTAAACTTTCCACGAGATATTGATTTCAATTCAAATTTCATTTGAAAGGTAAATTTGGGTAAATCAATGTCATTAGCCCAAATAACCAATTTATTCTTCTTTGAAACATCATCATTTTCTAAAAATTTCCAACATCCAATCATTAAATTCTTGGAAAATTTTGATACGTGTAATTTATTGAAATTCTTTACAATTTGTAACGGTTCTTTTGTGGTTAATAATGTAATGCATGAACCGTCTGAAAAGAAACGAAGATATCTATAGTAAGTTACGAGGTGAGTTGGTTGTACCCATGCGTTTTCTGCTAATCCAAGTCTATGAAAGTAATAGAATTTTTCAATTTTTTCGAAATTAATTCTTGAAACGCACTTATTAACGTTAAATATTTTGAAGAGATAATTTTACCTCAAATATTTGCACGTTGAAATATACACTCCATCTAATCGAATGCGTGGCCTTTAAAAAAGATTGATTTTATTACGCATATAATATAAATATATCTCGGTAATAATCAATTTGTCACTACCTTTCAATATACATTCTCCTCCAATCACCTCCGTATGCAGTTAAGCATTCTTGCATCAATTTGTTCGTTACTTTACGATCATTAGCATTATCACAATAAGTTTTTTCACATAATAACCGCCATAATGAAGTTTCCCTTGATAATAAAAAGAATTTTTTACAAACTAACGCAAATCCAATTTCCATAGAATTCATTCCACCGATAAAAATTAATTGTTCAAGAATGTAAATTATCAATTCATTCGGAAGTTTTGATATATGAATTTTTTTTCTTGGATTTAATGGTAAAAAACAAAGTGTCATGCTGCGAAATGAATCTATTAACAATGTAATCGCTTCATTATTTTCATCCTTTTTTGAAGAAATTGATATTGATTCTTCACTTATCATTATTGTGAGTGGTTCTTTTTCTAAAGGTTTTAATGAATCTTCAACTACTTGTACATTTGAAACATTGTCATTTCGCGATTCTTGTCCTTGTAATATCTCTTGCCGCCATTGTTGTCGAAATCTCTCAATATCTTCACTTTCCATCTCTTTCAAAAATAAATTTTTTAAATTATTGATTCAAATCATGAAGACTTATATACAATAGAATTTGCTCCGCAGCATTCGGCAAAAGGCGTTCAAAGGAAATCCTGATAATATGGCAAAAATAATTTTATTGTTTATGCGCAGCAAATGTAGCACAAAACTGGATCAAAAAACAAAAAGGTCAGAATTTCCCAAACGCCACATTTGTCTTACCCTACCAGTAAATTTTGTTAGCTCAAATAACTTCGGTCTACTACTATTAAAGAAGTTATTTTAGTAAAAAAGTAAAAATTTCGGTCGACATATACTGTACCTGTTCGAATAATGGCAAAGATAATTTCCGCAACCCCCTTTTCCTTAAATTCATGGTTTTTTTTCCTTCGCATTTTAAAAATTCGTTCTTTACCAACTAGCTCATTTACTACAGCAAAAAAAGGAAAGTCGGATTCCGTATATCGAAAATCATTATCGAAAATCCATTTCGATATCAAAAAAAATTTAATCAATTTCGATCATTTTTGATCGAAAAACATTTTTGAATATCGAACTTATCTATTTTATTTTTTTTTAAGAAATCAAAATAAAAAAATTTATATTGCCTGGGTTACAATAAAAAGATAAAAAGATAAATCTATATACATGTATATATTAAGAGAGCAATCTACCCTAAGCCTATCTATTATTACTTGTTTTTTTTTTCAAGGACGCGACCGGTTCATCATTTGCCAACACCCTCATCCTTTAACAAACCCACAATACTTCTAAAGTCCCTTATATGCCATTATTGATGACGTTAGTGCAAAGTAGATATCGAGAGATTAGAATGGTAAAAATATTTTATAAAACAAAAAATATGTTTTTTTCTTGGACATATCTAGATTCATATTTATATAGATGTATATTTGAAAGGACAATCCAATGAAAAATCAATTTTTTTCTTTTTAAAATTTTGTTGAATTACAAGTAGAATTTTCTCTCAATTGGTAAAATATAAAATATTCAGTGGCCCTACTGCAAGACTACAACCGAAGCTGATACCCATAGGCTTTGGAAAAACGCATATGCCCCATCCCTCGCATAGTTCCAAAATATCCCAACCGGCTCCTACTGCAAGACTACAGCCGAAGCTGATATTCCCTCCCTTGTTTAAAACTATACCGCTCCTGAAATTTCCCAACCAGCTCTACAAGGAGGTTGCCAGTACCTAAGGGTTTACCAAAAGATAAGCATGCTACGCCCCTTACCCGCGTTGATCCATAATACCCAACAAAAAAAAGCAAATAAAAGAAATGGTTCTGTAAGTTCCGTGTTTATCTATTTCTTTTCAAAAGAACTACCACCAACATGTTGGAATAAAGGAATAAATGGAACAATGGAAATGTTTTATATTATACAAAAAGTTTTTCATGAAAAAGTTTGATTTAATAAGGGTACTGACGTAATGGTAATTGCGTAATGATACTCGCTTCAAAAATAACCGACCATATGGTTAGAATTGAAGTTTTTTACTTAAAAAATATTCCCAGAACCTGATTTCCTAGTTCTTTAAGCCATGTGATTGTCAATCAAATTTTATCCTAAATTTTAAACTACTTATAAATTGGTAAAACATGATATTTTTTATTTTATGAATATAAATATTTTTTTTATATAATAAACGAGTTGATATAGTTTATCAAAAATTATTAAATATATATTTTATTTATATTTGAAAATTTATTTAAATAATACAAAACTCATAGCTATTAGTCGCATGTGACTTAGATTAGGTTTTGAAGGTAACTTCATAATCTGCTGGTAACTTCATAATATAACCTCATAATATAATGGTAACTTCATAACACAATGGTAACTTCATAATATAATGATTACATAATCTGATGGTAATTTCATAATCTAATATCATGATATGGTGACTTCATGAACTACTTAATTTATTTTTTGGATAGCTTCTTTGCATTTATAGTATTGTTTTAATCTTTTCCTGCATAATATAGTGGTGATTTCATAGTCTAATGGTGACTGGTAATGCTTTAATTTAATGGTGATTTCACGATCTAATAGTTTCTTATTCCTAATCCATTTACATGGTAAATTCTATATTGTTAGTACTGGCTTTCCAGTCTTCTTTGAATACCTGGTTCTATATTGAGAATGCTGATCCCTCTGTGCTGATTTGGTTACCAGTTCTATATTAAAAATGTACGCTATTTGGTTATCTTTCTAGATACCAAAATGTGGTAAAAATATCACGTCAGATGGCACAGTAAATCTGCGATTAATTTCAGCTGACATTATATCTAAAATTCTAGCTAAAATTATGGAATAGTGTTGGCTGAATTGAAACAAATTTATATTACGCCTTACTGCACTGATCACGTAATACTGTTCTAATGTCAGAACACCCTTATATAGTTATGGGCTAGTGATGATAGGGTTCCTCAAAATTGAATCGAATCAAATATTTAAGCAATTTGAATTTGATTTGATTTTTTCAAATTGAATTGAATTGAATCGAATATTTGATCGAATCAATTTGAATCAATTTGAATTTGATCGAATCAAATCAAATTGAATCAAATATTTGTCAAATC